GAAAAACTGTCGAATTTCGACAGTAACTGGCACTCTAGTATCAATAAACTGACAAATCGTCCTCCTTTGAGTAGGATTGTCCTCCTCAAAACGTGATTTGTCCTCCTCAAAAATATTTTCCTTCTCTGTACTTGTCTTTTGGGCAAAAATATTCTCCTTGTGCTCTTTTTCAAGTTTTATAGCAGTGATGAAATTTAAAAAAAAAATTTCGTTCAGAATATTATTATTTCCTAATCGTACACAATTTTTTTTATTTAAAAGGAGTTTACATTGTTCAACTTTCAGTTAAATGATGTAAACTTTTGGTTCAACTAACCAACCACCTGTGAAAGTTGAACAGTGTACACGCCTTTTAGCTTTAATCAATAATATTTAGTACGGCTTCCCACGGTACTCGCATTACGTAGTTCGCTCTCTCGTTCGTAATTCGCACTTCAATTGCCCTTAAAAATGCGAATTACCTCATTTATTGGTAATTCAGATCCAATTACCATGCAAAGTACGAACACATCGCTGCCGTCTCTAATTTTTTATCGGAAATTTATCGAAACCAGTTTACAAATCAAAACTGTCACTTTTTCTGAGTGCGAAAAGTAAAGTTTATACATGTGTACGCCACCAATTTAATTCGGAAACTTATAAATTTTTAGCAATTACTTATGTACATACGTTTTGCATGAATTTTGCAGCCAAGAAAAAAAAAACAAAACACAGAGATAGAGAACTGTCAAATCGAATCAGCAATGTGCTTGTGGGAAATGGTTTTTTTCCGGGATATTTGCCACTTATTATTATTATAGTAAACGAGTAATTCTTGTATTATATAGGAGGGTGACCCAAAATAAGGCTTAGGTGGTTACTATGTTAAATAAGAAGAAGAAGAAGTCTACAGACCATAACATTAAATCTATGGATTTCAATTCATGCTATATAACGCTCATTGAAATTTGGAATCGATTTAAAGTTATCGAATTCATCAATTGGTAAAAACTCGGGATTGGGTATTTATCACTTGCTATATCATTTAAATTCGAAAATAATAAAAACGTGGTATTGTAAAAAGTTTTGTTTGTAAATTAAATTCTACTTACGACATTACCAATTTCTTTCATACCTTATTCAACATAACCATTCTTCGCTCAAAGCCGCCAGCTATAAAGCTGAAGAGGCAAATCGCCAAAAACAACACCGAACGCTGTAAAACGAACGCTACAAATACACAAAACGATGGCTGTACATGCACTGAACGCAACAACAAATAAACACCCGTACAATAGATAACAATAATCAGTGTTTTCGTAACTGTCAACATCAATGCGTAACGGTAAATACGCGAATATTTTACACGCACACCAATATTTGCATAATTCTCATCCAACTCATTAAAAACATGAATTATGCGTCGCATCTTGGAGCGTTGAGTTAACGCTGTCGTATAGATAACAATGCCGGTAATAATGCCATTACAAATTTGTAACGTATCACCCACAATGGAGATATTCGTGCGAAAGAAGTAACCAACCACGGATTCGGCATTCAGCAGCGCGTTAAAGAAGCAGACACCATAGAGTATGACATAGGCGGCTGTGTTGCAATAACCAAAACAGGAGGCACGTATCTCACTGGTGCCATTGCTGCGCTTCACAATGCGAAACGGTGTCAAGCCATAGATGTAGGTGAGCAGGAAGAGCGGCTGAAGTGTGGCGAAAACTTCGCGAGAAATGAAATACTGACGCAGACGACGAGCGAAGCGGGCGCACATCGATGAGAGTTGGAGAAATGGGAATGGTTGGGATTTTTAATTTTTTTTTTTTTGCTTTTAGTTTTCGTTTTAAGTATCGGTTTTGCGAATCCTTTTTTGACCGTGAAACTTTTTAAAATTGATGCCTCCCGTTTGACGTGGCACGCACGACTGTTTATTCCTATCAATTTGCTGCCTGTTGCATGCCGGCTAGACGTGTCAATAAATAGGAGTATGTTTGCTTTTGTTTGCAGAATAATTCATTACCGGCCACCGGAAAGTGACATGTTTGCGCTGCGGCCAGAGATGGCGTATTAAAAGTTTATGTGGAGGGAATTGCAACAAGGATTTGCATATGGAAAATGCGAGATTAGCCTTGTAGTATTGAAAGGGCCCTAGAACTCAATCAACGAAAATCGATACAAGAATCATGCTAGATTAGGTTCGTTTAGTAGACAGTTAATAAGAGTCATATACCTCCATCCACTCGAAGTAATATTTGCCCCTAAAAGAATATGTATGGGGAATTCTTTTTCATATCAGCCACTGCCAATTCTTCTTGTGGAAATGCTTTGAGCACATGAAAAAATTGGTCATGGTATAGTTTTTGGTGTCGTCTGGTGTTTTCTGAAAAAAAAATCTTATCTCAAAATAACTGTTCAAAGAGAGGGTAAAAAATGGTGAAAAAAATAAATAAATGAGAAATAAAAATTTTCAAATAAATTTGACCAAGTCTCAATTTTGGATTCGCTCAAGAAGACTCCGATGTCAGTTTTTGAATTCAAGAGGCAGGTCCAAGATGGTGGGCAGCTTTTTTTTTTAATTTTTGCATTTTTATGAGAAGCTGTTTTTCATCGCAGAAATACACTCGGAGGTTTGCCAATTGCCTGCCGAGCAGCGACAGTTGTTAAGAAAAAACCTTTTTTCTATATTTTTTTTGCGATGTTGCTTTCACCAAGACTTGGCCCTCCGGAGTGGTAGCGCTAACCACTACACCACAGCGGCCGCCAATCTAAGAATATGAGTTGACAAGTTAAATTCAACTTAATTCATCAGGTTAGAAGGTAAGAAGATTTAAGTGCGCAAATACTTCTGAAGAGGGTTGCCACCTGTTTGAAAAGTTAAATGTAGTTAAGTTATATACAATATATGGGACAAAAATCGTCAAGTTTACCAGGAAAAAATTGTATGGCAGCATTTGTTCGAACTGCACAAAGTTGTTGCTATGGTTACTGGTAACCAACGTGTAAGAGAAATTTTTTTCTACTGCGGGCTTTTGTCGAGTTATACGAGTTTAAACATGCAAACTGGAGCCCTTTTTCTAAGAGTACAACTCCACAACAAGCTAGTCAGGCTTTCAGCAATAAATAGCTGAATTGTGTAGCTTGGGTATTCAGTAGGAGGGAATCACATAAAGTTCACCAAAAGTGTAACACAGACAGTCAACTGATAGCCCCACCAAAAGAGTCGCAATAACGGAACGGGCAAAGCATTAGGCTGCTAATCGGGCGTAGAGGATTTTTTGTATATCAATGTTATCGATCCCTGCTGAAGTCTAGAAAAAATAAATCTGATGAGGAGATGTGGTGATCTCCGAAATAGCTGCTATAACTTCTACCGCTTAGACTTTGTTGCTTTTTAAATTTTTGCCTAATAAACAATCGTGGTACAAAGCTCAATAAAAATATTAAAATTGCGATTTTTTATTTTTTTTTATTTCGTATTTTTGTCTTTTCTTATTAGGTTTATTTATTTATTTTTAATAATCTTTCGATTTTAAGGTTTTAAAACAAAAAATAATTTTTTTTTCAATGGATTTGTATGATATTAAAGCATTTTTATTTATTTCTTAATGAAATTGTTGTTAAACAAATTTTCTCGCTTAATTTTCGCGTTTTTTTTTTTTTAAATAAAATATATAGCAATTATCTTTTCCTACATATTTTTATTTTTGTGACCTGCTTTTAGCCAGCTGAAAAATTAGTATGAGTGTCAAACGGAGGAGGTGTTAAACATTTTTGTATCGAAAATATTTTTTGAAATGGTTGCCAACTGTTTAAAATGTCGAGTACAACTTCATGACTAATTTAAATTAAATATATTTAATCAACAAATTATTTTTAAAGTATGCTTAAAATAAAACCATAGATTTAGGTTTTTCCTTAAAATGTCGTTTTTTTGAATTTTGTATGGGGCGCCTGTTTTTTTTCTACGTACAAAATAAAAAAAAGCATGGACATTTTAACATAAAAAAAAAAACATGTAGGGGTCGCTACGAGGCACAGTGGTTCCCTTCCGTATAAAATGTGGAAAAAATGGAATTATGGACGGATTTTGATGGAAATTCGTTTCGTAGTGAAATTGAAATATATATATAATATAGTTCGTTCTATTTTCAAAGATGAGTTGTCAAATGACAGGGCTGTAGATGTGCAATAATGTTTATTTTATTTTTTTTTAAATTTTATTACAAATATTTAATAAGTTAAATGAATTAGATATTACAATATGGGTAATGGTTTTGAAAATGCTTTACTTCCAATCGACACATAGAAGAGTTGCCACATGTTTAAAAAATCAAATTCATATTAATGAAGGGAATAAGATTACTGAAATATGTTTATGAGTATGGGTACTAGACAAAAGAAAAAATTTGACATATTTAGCAAGAAATAAGTGAAGACCGTAACAGTTAAACTTTTATTAAAAAAATCACTCTTTAACAATTAATTTTTGACTTTTAT